AAGAATATGGGATTTGCAGAGAAAGCGATGTATAAAATGGTTGAGAGGACATAACAATACAATAACAGGAGTTATGTACAATTGCAAAGATGAGCACCTTGCTTCCATCAGTGTCAGTGGGGATCTTATACTTCACAATCTTGCTTCTGGTGCAAGGGCTGCTGAACTTAAGGACCCTCATGAACAGGTTGTGAAAGTTTGTTGCACTTGAGTTAAAGTCTTAGATATATAGAGTCAGATGATCTGATTTTCAATTAATTGTCGTTTCTGATGGCTGTTAAGACCAGGTATTGAGGGTGCTTGACTATTCTCGTTTTAGCAGACACCTTTTGGTGACTGCAGGTGATGATGGAACTGTACACTTATGGGATACAACTGGACGCAACCCTAAGGTTTGCCTTGACTTTCTTGTTGTAGGAATAACATGGCTCGATATAATTCAGTGTATGTCCATTGCTGGAATTGTTTTTTTGGCACCCCCTTTGATTAATATTATTATTGCATTGGGAGCGAAAGAGAAGAATATTTTATGTACATTTGCTATTATGGCAAGATTTTAGAGCAATGACAGAGAAAATAATCTTCTGAAATTTGACAAAGAGAATGCTGTCTGGCTTAGGTCAATGTTTTCATTATGGAACTTATAGGCCTAGAATTCATGTTGAACTGAGTTATAGTGCTGTTACATAACCTTTTCCTTTAGGTTGGTAGAATTTTTTTTTTTTAAATGTCATCTTTTCTTGTTTTTTGTGATTTGTTTTCCCCGTTAGTTAACTGGTGCTTCTCATTAAAAAAAAAAATAAATAAAAAAATAGATTTGATTTGGACGGCAGTTTTTGTGTCCTTTAAAATATCCACATCTTTTTATGTTATAAAGCATTTAACTGTGTTGGTATCCGCAGTAAGGCTGCAATCATGTGGATGGGTTTAGTTGGAATTATGGTTTCTATTGCTACAAGTAAGGAATTTGTTGCGGGCTCTCTATAACCTACCTGATAAACTCCTGGATGGATGTGGGGATTTCAGGATATCGTAAGACAAAAACGGAATTTGTGTTTCCTGTAATCCTTCTTTGTTGTGGGAAGACAATTTGTCATTTAAATTATCAGATTTTGGTCAAAGTTTATTAATGGATGACTCAGAATTTTGAAAATTTCCGTTTGGTACTTTGTTGCAAGAATAACACCTTTTATTTCTTTTTGGTACTAACTAGAATGTTTTCCTTGTCTGTGGCATTAATTAAAATTTTCCTGTCTCATTACTCTTTTCTGGTGTTCATATGTTATGTGATGACTGATGAGCTTTATATTTCATTATGTTCTTTGGATTTTATTTTCACAAAGTGTTTATTTCATAAGTTATGTTGTAATAATAGAGTTGCACCCTTTGCTTTTGTTTAGGTTTCTTGGCTGAAACAACATTCTGCACCAGCTGCTGGTATTAGCTTCTCACCATCTAATGATAAGGTCTCATTCTTATTTGTGGTTGATCAGTGATATCTGGTCTAGAACTTCTTAGGTTGATCAGTTTCTCCTTACATATAGTATCATTCAAATAAAATTTCCTGATTACAGACTCTAGCTAGTGTTGGGCTGGATAAGAAATTGTACACTTACGACTCAGGATCAAGGAGACCATCTTCTTACATTGCTTATGAGGCACCCTTCTCATCAATGGCTTTCAGAGATGATGGTTTGACACTTGCTGCTGGAACAAGTAATGGACGTGTGGTTTTCTATGATGTCCGTGGGAAACCAGAGCCTTTCATGGTTCTTCGTGCTTATAGTAATTCAGAGGTATTACCCCAGAGTTTTATAGAATCCTTGTGTGCTCCCTAAGTTGGTAGCTTTGCTGCATGTTTATTTACCATCATGTTATTTTTCTTTGCTGTAGGCTCATGAATCATAAATATTGTTCATCACTTTCATGTTTTTCCACCATCTGTTTTGTTTTTGATCTGTGCAACACATATGGTGTTAAGTGAAGTTGGAAACAGCCATTGAAATGGTTTTTGTTTGTTCATGTGCTTATTAAGTTCAAACCACCCTAACCCAATTCTGTTTGTGTCACTCACTATCACTATTGTTTGTTAGCAGTACTGATTGGTATCCCATTGCAATTTTTTGTTTATTACCTAGATTTTAATTTGCATGCTTAATATTAGTAGGTTTACTAATTATTTGCAGTATAATCCAGGCAGTTACAAGTCTATCATGGCAGAGGTTAAAACCTGTAATTGTAAATGAAAACAACTGCACGGCTGAGGTTGCTCTTTTGGGAGGTGCGATTGAAGATTCAATTCTCATGCCTGACCCACTTCCATCTGTGACTACATCGAGCACTGCTCTGTCAACAACAATATCCAGCTCTCGGAATCCTGGTCGTTCAGGTCCGACTTCTGAAGCTTCACTGACCGAAACTTCCAGTGCATTCTCATCGAGTGCACTTCATGAATCAACTGCAGAGGAAACACCACTTCGTAGCCATTTGCGGCCAGGTGGACTCTTAGCCAGATTACATGCTCCTCGCTCCAGCTACAACTTCAAGGATGACATGGAGGTTTTTTCTCCTCTTGTGGATGTTCAGCCAATCACACCTTCACTGTGGGATGACCAAAATGGAGCTAATAAAGACCCTCCATTTGACAAGAAACCTCTGTCTTCGTTGTTTACTTCGTCAAGCAGGAGGTTCTCTTCTACTGAGGATGGGGCTAGTGATCATCCAATATTTCATTGGAAATCTTCAGTTTCCAAACAGGTGTTGCTAATCTCTTAACTGCAAGTTGTTTTTCATGCATGATAAAAGAAATACCTTTCTTAGTGCGAGGTTCACTTTCCCATGGTACTTGGTCATATCAGTATTCTTGATCAACTTTCGGCTTTCAGTAATCTAAATTGCCTATTCAAGGTATATGAAAGCTAGATATACATATTATTGATCGTGTAGGTATAGCTTTTGGTTTGCTTTAATTATTACTCATTTGAGTGAGAAATTATCTTATTAAGATTTCTCAATTACACATTCATCTGCATGATGGTAGACCTAGACCAAATGTTTAAGACAAAATTAACAAAGGACCGACATGGTATGATAGATTTAAACTAATTGATAATAGTTTCTGAGAAGTCTGCATTTATTCTTCAGTCATTTGAGGTTACAATTTTCAGGCCCTTTTGATTGGACTGGTAAATTCTCGTGAGAGCTTTCCTCTGGGGTTGCACAGCATGAAAAATGGTGATTTGAATCACTATTACTTGATTTTTTGGCAGGATGATTCTCGATCTTCTTCAGGACAAATGGTTTCTACTCCTGCTCCAGCCCTAAATTCTAAGAATGAAAACTCCTCTATTACTCCTCCGGAAGCGTGGGGTGGTGAGAAATTATCTGATAAGTTTGCTCAACTGAGGCAGCCAATTAATTTACCATCACGTTTTGGGATGTTGGCTTCTACTAGTCAGACATCAAGTTCAATAATATCTGGATTACAAGATCCGACGTCATCAGTCAGTCAAAGCAGCATCCCTTCCTTGACAAATTTGAATCTCAACTATCCAAATTTACGAACGAAAGATGTATCCTCACAGGATGTTTCATTGTCAATTCCAGAACACTTTTCTACTACTACTGCATCTCTGTCTCTTGGTACCAGAGCCTCCATTGGACTGAGCAACCCAGATTCACCTAGGACCACATCTATGACCCTGCCTCGTAGATTTTCTACATATGCAGAGAGGTTAAGCACCACTTCATCCTTCAGTGATGGACTTTCAGTGGGCTCACCGAAAACAAAGAAAATGGGTTCTGAGACTAGGGAAGAGGTTTTGAATAACTTGTCGAAGTTTGATGCTTTTTCTGTCGTGGAATCAGGGGTTCTTCCTGCAATGAACGTATGAATACTTTATTCAACACCTAATTAAATGCTTTATATGTTGTGCGTGACTTAGACTTCTGATTGTAGGCGTTACCAATTTTCTTTGAACTTCGTTGTGTACATTCTAGTGCTTTTTAATTATGTACATTTTTATGGGGGTTACTTCCATGAACTGCTGTCTCTTTGAAATGAAAAATGTGGGTCTCTGATCTTTACTATTTGTGGCAGGGAGGATCCTTGCAACCACAAAAGCCATTGCAGACAGATGCCCAACAAGGAAACTCGTTTACACTTCAGCTTTTTCAACGCACATTGGAAGAAACTCTTGATTCCTTTCAGAGATCCATACATGATGATATGAGGAACCTTCATTTAGAAATTCTGAGACAGTTCCATATGCAGGAGGTACTTCATTTCAGATACCTAGAAACTAAAACCGAGTTTCGTCATTTACACTTCCTTTGCTCGTGTTTTGTCTCATTTATATTCTGAAATCCTTGCACAGATGGAAATGTCAAGTGTGATGAGCTCCATTTTGGAAAATCAAGCTGAGCTGATAAAAGAGGTTAAGTCTCTGAGGAAAGAAAACCAGCAGCTTCGAGATTTGCTTGGATCGTAGGAGTTCAATAGGTCAAATTCTGTTTATCCTTTACTTGAGGCACAATTTGGGATCTGTCTTTCTTTCAGCGTGCACTTGGTCGTTTTGTTGCTCCCCGCTCAGGTGAATGGTTTTATTTGTTTCTATTTTTTTGAATGTGTACAGAATATGATTTGCAGTTCATCAAAGGAATAGTGTATTTCTTAGCCTATTTTTAACAGCAAGTGTATTCATTTAACAGAGGTAGTGGATGCATACCTGTGAGCTTAGTTGAAGGTTTCTTTTTTAGTATCCTCGTCCACTGAAATGTGGAAATTTACTAATATTTGTGAAATACATCTGAACATGGAGCTATCATATCATGAAGATATCATATTGACGACCAAGTCGTCGGCTTCTTTTGATACTAATTTATTTACCTAAACACTAGTTGAAAGAATACACTGGGCTTAAAGGTGATTTCCTAACATTCTTTCTCTCTTTCCGGTTCCAGTTTATACATTACGCTTGTCTCTATTTTTTTAAATTTTGTCTATCTTAATCCCTATATTTTCCTACTCTAAAAAGTGACTCTTTTGGTTAATTAATTTATTTTTTATTCAGTTTTTTAATATTATATATAATTTCAATATGATACTATACTTAAAAGGTTTAGTTGGATATAGAAATTTTGTTAAAATTTTGTGAATAGAGATTAAAAATAGTTACTTTTTTTGAAGTAGGGATTAAAAGTAGACGTTTCGAGAGTGAACATGAGATTGAAATGAAAAATGTTGAAAATCCAAACACTTTGAAAATCAACCTTTAAAAAGTATAATGACTATGATGAATTGGTAGGACTAAAATATTATTTAAACTTTTTTTTTCTATTACATTGAGAATGTTTCAATATGGAAATTAGCACATATGCTTTAGAATCTTTATTGACGATTCTTCCAAATAATTTTAGATTTGAATTCATATGATAACATCATAATTTAATTTCGAAGTAGAGCGATGATCACAGATTTTGTATTTTTTTCCCTTTAGTTTTAGCTGTGAAAATAGCTGTTCGAGATTAACAGAATTTATCTTAAATGTAACATTCTATAAAAGTTATCGATTCAAAAAATTTCAAGGTTTGTTTTACAAAATAAATATAAAACAGACAATTCTAGTATCAATTGGTCTGGGTGGTGTAGTCGGTTATCACGCTAGTCTCACACACTAGAGGTCCCCGGTTCGAACCCGGGCTCAGACATTTTTTTTACCTTTTTAATGTATAATCTGGGCTTTATTAATGGGCTAGTCGTGATAACGTTGGCCCACTCCTCCAGCCCATTTATTCCTGCACGTGTAAAGGTAGTCAAACGTGCGTCCAATCGACAAAGTAAGGCACGTGGACGATGAATCAGGCCAGCACTGTGCAACTCTGCTTCAACGTTGCGCGGTACCGTCACTGTCGTCCGTGACCGTGTCTCTATGAGTTGTCCTTCCAGCGAAGAAATGCCGAAGAAGATTAGGGCTCAAAGCAGGATTCCGTCTCAGTCAGTCTCTCATCGATTCTTACCTCTGCTCTGATGAATTTCTGAGACCAGCAAACAATTTGTTTCCCCTCTTCCTCTTGTTTATTCTATTTTGGTGCTTGATTGCTTTCTCCATGGATGAGACCTACACGAATCTTCCTACTAGCCATTTGCTTGGCTCAGTCCCTGTACGCACTTTCAGACTTCTCTTCTGTTATCTACTTCTTTAATTAACCTTTGATTGGTATTATTTATGTCTGTAAGTTTGGAATATCTGCATCACTCTTCGCGATGATTGGTTTGCTTCGTAATGTCATCGGTTGCGATTTCGTCACCGCTTTTTTTTTCTGTGTGTTTGTTCATGCTTGCTTAAGACATTGGATATAGAGGAAGGTGCATAGTTTGGTAGCTTCTCGTACGTTGTGCTGTTTTTGAGAATTCATCCGGAGTAAAAGGAGAATGGAAGACTTTTCTTTTGAGTCCACCGACGGTTTTTCTTTGCTAATCAGTTAGGAGTCAAATTAGGAAACTGTTGTTGATTTTGAGTTCCCCCCAACCGCCTCTCTTCTCGGTTTTTTTCTTTGGTGATTTCTGAAAAGTAAAAACGAGCATTCAGTAATAATTGTTGAGTATGAGTGCAATAGATGTGTCATTTGATAGGGAAATTAAGTTCTACTTTCAGTTGCGTCCTCTTGATAATGCGTGTGCAATATATCCGGCAGTTGGTGTGTTTGATCGTAGTTGTTTTTGGGTTTTACTCAAAGTCTAGGTTCTGCCCTCATCTAGTTTTACTGCGAACAGTTAGATTAGGTATACAAGTCTACTGGGCTGGATTTGTGAAGAGCTTGAACAAATATAGAGCTGGCTAGATTTTGTCCCTCCTGGATTTAGAAGATTAAAATGCATTTTGGTGAGAAGGAAGATTCAATGTTATAATGTCATGGCGGGGATCTGGTGTTTTAGCTCGTATCAATTGAATGTCACCCTTGTGTTATGCTTTATAATCAAGAATGGCACTCCTCTAATACAAGAGATACATACAAGTTCTAACTGCAGTTTGCTAACGTGCTGCTGCTGTTTTGTTGTATGATTTTTAAGTTTGTAAGTATTTCTTGGTTGCACCTTGAATCCATGTGTGCTTTAATGCTATACGTGTTCTGTTTGGTTTAGATTTTTAATTTATGGTCTTCTTTCTCCCTGTTTCCATTTTCAAAGCTCCTCTGTCTTCATATTTTCATATACATATTTTCTCTCCTTTTGGTTCCATAGGCTGTAATCAGTGAAGAGAAGAATTTCGTGGAGCAAGAAAGTATGAACAAATTCCAGTATCTTCTTCTTAGTAACTTTATTTTACTTTATGTTCAATTATAAGTCACAATCAAAGTTATTCCATTTTTACTATTAAATTTTCACATGAACAAATGTATATCATTTCTCTGAGGAATGGCTTATTTATTTTATGTAGTGCCGGAAGCAAGTATGCAGACATTCCCTCCAAATAATGGGGGGGACAGAGGGAGAGGTTATCAAACTCTTGAAAGTCCAAGTGGTATGCTGTTCATGTAAAAATTAGTATCTCCCATATAGTATCTCTAATCATTATCAATTCCCCTCCGTTATCCTATGTACTAGTTGTGAAATTGGTGAAAAGAATGATTAGAGATCATTCCTTTAATTTTCTTTTTTCCTTTGTTTCTCTCAACTAGGGGTTTTATATATGCTTTTGTAAAACTATAATTATTTGATGTGACATTCTTTCCCATAGTAGAAGTGGTTTTTTTTATAAACTAATGAATTTATTTCTTTTACTAGATACAAATTAATTTATTTCTTCTACTAGCCAATCTGAGTTTAGCTCAGTGGTTAAGGCACCATATTTTTCTAAGGTTGAAAGTAACCATCTTTTTCTAAGGTTGAAAGTTTGATTCCTCATCGCACATAAATTGAGATGTGTTCTTTGTTTCAACTTATTAATTATCGCTTTGTATCTGAAAATTCCTTTCCTGTTATCTTTGGACTATGAAGGTTGAAACTCGTGTACCATGACTACTAGATATTTTGCCGTTGATTTATTATAGTGGCCCAAGGCTCTTGAATCTAATGCAAGAGGTCATATATGTTTATAAAATACTTGGATCTTCGGGGCTGAAGCCACCTATCTAGCTTCAAACCCCTAAACACAGAAAAGATAGAAAATTTTTTGATATTATAAAGTAAATCTTGTTCTGATCTAGAGGGAATGAGTTCAAACCAAAGTAGCTCGCTACCTAATATTTTATATCCTACGAGTTTTCTTAGCAACCAAATGTGGTAGGCTTAGGAAGTTGTCCCGTGAGATTAGTTAAAGGTGTACGAAAGCTAGTCTAAAAACTCAAGGATATAAAAGAAAAACTTGGTTCTCATAAATTAGACTACTACATCATAAATCTCCTGAAGATCTGATTTCTGTCAGGCATGTATTTTTATTTCAGAGATTCATTTGACCAGTTAATTTTTTTCCTTATAGTGAGCTATACATTTGACTCTGTTTACTTATGCACAGATTCTCAGCCGCAACCATCAAATGACTGGAAGGGATTTTTTAGTATTTCATCTTACACCCAATATTTCAATGTTGATACAGACATTGTTTTGAATAGATTGATTAGTTCCTTGTATCCCATTGGTGGAGACTTTACTAGCAAGATTGATGCAAACCCTGATCTGTGAGTTTCCGTTTCCTCCCTTAACCTTAATAATTTTTCTCTCTGTTTCTCTGATGGCTATGGAATTATTTATGAGCTTTTGAACGCCTGCCTTTTAATGTCTTTTTCCTTTCAACTTTTTATGTCTCTACCTGATCATTTAGTCATTTGTATGATGTTAATCTTGTTCTTGAAACTGAATGGATTCTAAGACTCCTTTATTGGATTTTGTCATATTTTAGATATGGGCTTGTGTGGATCACCACTACATTAGTCTTTTCCCTTGCCTCACTTGGAAACTGTGCGACCTTCCTCATGCAAAAGCATAGTGATAACGGTACTGCATGGAGCTTTGATGTCAGCTATGTGAATGTGGCAGCTGGGTCTGTTTATGGTTACGCGATCGTGGTGCCTATGGCATTTTACTTTTTGCTCCAGTACTTGGGGTCAAATTCTAGCCTCATAAGATTTTGGTGCTTGTGGGGATACTCTCTGTTCATTTTTATTCTGGCATCGGTAAGCTTCTGGAATCTCTACTGCAGTTTTATTCAATTCTTTAATCCTTTTTGTTACAAGCAAACAAATATAAAACTCTTCTTTTATCTATTACACGTGACTCCAGACATGACTAATGACTTTTCAGTTTTCAGTATTTGATAATGTTCAGTTTCTATGAATTTCCAAATAACTGTATTTCAAACTTTCATATATATTGAATTTCTGGATTTCGTAGCTTAGTGGATATTGCAGTAAGTATACAAGAAGAAAGAGACAGCTACTAGAGAATACTGTTACCTAAACTATAAATTTTCATATCCTGCGAACTTGCATGAGTTTTATTCAGCAAATATCTATTTTGATGGCAATATGACTGCACGATTTTTACACCTCTTTTTCTTTTCTAGTTTTTGTTGCTCATCCCGGTTGAAATTCTGCGCTGGTTCATTATACTCGTTTGTGGTGCTGCCTCATCAAGTTTTGTTACTTTGAACCTGAGGTCCTATATTGAGGGAAATGATCTTTCGGTTCTGGTAGTTGCTGCATTTGTCTTGCAAATGGCTTTGGCAATCTTCATCAAAATGTGGTTCTTTCCTTGAGCAAGCTCACTCGGGCTTTTGCTGCCTTCAGACCATCTATGTTCGATGTCTTTGAGTGCTGACCTCTTAACTAAAGAATGATTTCCTCTTGGTTGGTGTTGGAAGTTCTGGGTCCCTGTATTTGTGTGGTGAATGAAGGCATCGACAGAAAAGAACGTCGACAGTCATAATTTTTATAATTGGTAGTGATGGTTTTGTCGTACCAAGGATCTCTAACTTGCTCAGTGTACTGTTTGCAGAGTTCTCTGATGGCCTTTCCTCTTTATGGATTTTGTTTGAGGAGAGCGGAATCTGTTGGTTTTCTTTAATTTTGAATTTTCATCCATGATATTCCACTCAAACACTAGATGTCAATGTAAATAGATGTTGAAGCATGTACTTTGTTGTAATTGAACTGAATATAACCTTCAAAACAGGCCTCTTTCTTAAGATTTTTACCTGATCTGAAGGAAAACTACAGGATATGATGAAACTGAAAAGGATGAAATGGTACAGATGAATGTAATGTACATAGAACTTTTGAAGAGATTGAGAACCCCTTGGGAAGACTGAATTTCTTTGGCGCGTGACTCGGCAGCTCAAATTTATGGATTTGGTGAGTATCCAATGCCAATCTATTAATAGCCATTTTACTGATGGCAGATGGCTAACTACTGTGCGAAATTCCTGTTAGCAAGCGTAAGCAGGTGCGTAATAGCACTGGATTTCCTCATTTCTGTTCACGAACTTACAGACAACAAATTCCAACGAAACTATGATTCAAAAACCACCAGAAACCAGTTTTCAAAAACAACTTCAAAATAATCAAATGGATCTAAAAACTTGTGCCACGTTTTGAGAGAAGGGACCATCCCCATGGCCTAATCCTTTGTTCTTAATCTCATGAGCTGCAGTTGCAGGTTTCAGCAGCTCTCCACTGACTCTGATCACTGACCATCCATCGAATTTCTTCAACAACCCATTTTTTTCCTTTGTTTATTAAATTTGCCTTTGGACTTGTCCTTCCGCCACTCCAAATCGTCATTTTCCGAGAAACGTGAAACCCTCTACTGTCGAGCCTCCCTGGCAGCCATCTTACAAGTCAATATGATGACGCCAAGTGTCCGCCACCCTTAAATAAAGCTCTACTTTTTCCTGTGGTCTGAATTGTTTCAATTAAAAATTAAAATTATTCTTTCAAATTTTGAAAATTAATAATTACTTACAATCATATTACTGTAACTTTTTAATTAAGGATGAATACTATTTAATTTTAGAATTGTGCTCGTCGAATATACGTTACATACCTATAAATAATTATATTTTATTAAAATGGTTTTTTATTTTTCTCGCTCGTTGCGATCTATGAGTGCGACATTCATTTTAAACAAAAGCTCTCTGTTAAGAAGCCTCTCATTAAAGTCATAAGATGGAACATCCATCCCGTCGTTCAATCAATGTATTTGGCGCTAGTTGTTAAATACCTATGACATTGAGACTCATATCTCAAACCATCGGTTAGATTATTGTACCTTCCATTTAAACATCATAAAAATGTTGTCACATTTAATTTTTGTTGGACAAAAGAGTAAAATGGATGTGAAAAAATTTCAAAATATATAAACTAAATTGTGAACCAATAAAAAGATTGGACACGGGCAATTCGTAAGGCGGGCCTACTCATATCCAAGAAGAGGCATGCAGCCAATAATGAATGATGACTGTGGAGAACGGCACACTGGGTCGACGAAAATGGATGGCATTTGAGTTCCAGAATGAATTTTAAATAAATAATTAAAATTAAGTTTATAGAAAATAAAATAATAATAATAAAGAAAATAAAAAGGAACCGAGGTTCCGCCTAACATTTTCCATTTTGCTGTATATCAACTGCTCCCGCACTGAAAATTCTTGACAACCAAAACCCTCATTACTGATTAGCTTAGCTGAGTTGTCTTTTGTCTCGGCCGAGTTGACTCGCCACAGTGTTCGACATGGACTCCATGGATCGCTCTCGAGCTTTCGTCAGGGATGTCAAGCGCCTGGTTATCAAGGTATCTCAATTTTAGAACTCCAAATGATATGCTCCTATACTCACATTTTCATATACTTTTCTTTTTCTTGGTTTAATTTACCGAAAGGTGATTTTTTTTTTTTTGTTTGGAACTGGAAAATTTTTATGAATGGTTTCTTTGCTTGTTGGATGTTATTATTTTTCTTCCGATTTTTAGTGCCAGATTTGTCTTTATTCTATTTGAGATTTGTAATTGTGTTTGTTGGATGGAGAAAGTCAATGCCGAAGTTTTTGATTCTGATATCTCTCATTCCGTGCATTTTTGCTTCGATTTGGATGGATGGATGGAGCATTAGATGTTTGAAATCTGAATACTTCATATTTATGCATGTTTGCCGATTCGATTGACTAGGTGTAGTAGAACTTCTCCTCAAATATTCCTACCGGAAAAGTACATGCAGAATACATCTCAATTTTGGATCATGAAACCATTGATAATTTAATTGACTTGCCCGTCCTTCGATGTCGTGCTTTTATTATTAAGGTTGGGACGGCGGTGGTAACACGAACTGATGGAAGATTAGCTTTAGGCAGACTAGGAGCACTATGTGAGCAGGTATTTACCTTGCATTAAAATTCAAGTCTTCTACAAGTTTATAATGATTGGAGACTGCTTCTCTTTCCTTTCCTGACGAGCTTCTGGTTTGAGATGATTCATTTATTTGTTTAATATTAAGATTTCTATCTGAAATGCAGATCAAGGAATTGAACTCTCAAGGATACGAGATTATTTTGGTTTCATCTGGTGCCGTTGGCATTGGTCGTCAAAGGCTCCGATATAGGAAGCTAGTTAATAGCAGGTACTTATGTGCCAGATAAGTTGCAATTAAATTGATTAAGAGGACAATGAAATTCGATGGAGTCCTTAAATCAATTCAAGGTTTGATCTACCTATTTGAAACTTTTTTGCTTAAAAAAAAGGAAAAAGATGTTCTAAGATTGTACTATGAATGATGCAGTTTTGCTGACCTTCAAAAACCACAAATTGATCTTGATGGGAAGGCATGCGCAGCTGTTGGTCAAAATAGTCTTATGGCTCTCTATGACACATTATTTAGTCAGGTGATGAGCACTCTTAATTTAGTTGCGTTTCCATTTTATTACTTAATAATCGCTTCTAGATCATTAATTTATTTGCTTAGGTCTGGCTAGATAGCTGTTGGGTTGCTATAATGTTACCCAAGTTGCACCTTTTTTTTTCCTTTTCCTATTTTCACCCCTTACCATTCAATATTATGAACTCTGGTACAACGTGTACTTTTTCTGAACTATTTTAATATTTGTAATTGCTTCCATATCATTGACTTGTATTTTACTAACTACTTCACTATCTCAACACTTTTTCCTTTTCTGCCCGCTCCTAGCCAATACTCAGTATATAGACTTCTGGATGACATGTTCTTATTCTTTTTGGCAGCTGGATGTTACATCTGCTCAGCTTCTTGTTACAGACAACGATTTTAGGGATAAAGATTTTAGAAGGCAACTTAATGATACAGTGAAATCATTACTCTCTCTTAAAGTTATTCCTATATTCAATGAGAATGATGCAGTCAGCACCAGGAAAGCTCCCTATGAGGTGTGATGCTTGCTTTATAATCATATTTTTTGTCTGTTTTGGGATTGGCAGTTTTTGAATAAGACTTCCTTTGTAATTGTGAAGTATAATTGACTGCTTATTCTTCTTCTTTTTTTTGGTTGGGGGATGGAGGGTCTTCAAACAAAATGGATTTATTACTTTGCTTTCTAATCTCTTTTTCACTTAGCTCACTCTTTGTTTTTGACAACTCTTCTCAGGATTCTTCCGGTATATTTTGGGATAATGACAGTTTGGCAGCTCTATTAGCTTTGGAGTTAAAAGCTGATCTCCTTGTTTTGTTAAGCGATGTAGCTGGTTTATACAGTGGGCCACCAAGTGACCCTCACTCAAAGTTAATCCATACGTACATTAAGGAACAGCATCAAGGTGAAATTACCTTCGGGGACAAGTCTAGGGTGGGAAGAGGTGGTATGACTGCTAAAGTTAAAGCTGCTACTGGTGCTGCATATGCTGGCATTCCTGTTGTTATTACCAGGTATTCTTCACTCTTGAGTGCCTGGGGAATTCCCTTTCCCTTTTCTCTATATCTAATAATAATCATTCACTATACCACTAACTGAGGGGGAAGTGAAGGAGTTAATGCACCCCATGTTTTTCATCTCATATATGCAAGAAAATCGAAGGTTATTTAAAAGACGTTATATCACATCACATGCACTTGTGGAAGGCTGAAATGCTTCCTATTTACAAAGACATGCTTCTTTGAAACTGGACGTAGCCTAGAATGAATGGATTCTCTATTCAAATCTCATTTTTTATTCAATATGAATGTTGATTCAATTTAAAAATGGTTTTTTCATATTCATATGAAGTGGATACGCTCCTGAGAATATCATTAAGGTCCTCAAAGGAGATCGTATTGGTACCCTCTTCCATCAAGATGCTCATTTGTGGGCCCCGCAAAAGGAAGTTGGTGCTCGTGATATGGCTGTTGCAGCAAGGGAAAGTTCGAGAAGGCTGCAGGTAATTGCTCAGTGCTTTGCATGCAAAGTTTAGCATGATTTTTTATGCATAGTTTATATTCCATAGGCAATTTCTTCTCAAGGGAGGAGAAAAATTTTGCTGGATATAGCTGATGCCCTTGAAGCGAATGAAAAACTTATCAGTACTCAAAACGAAGCTGATGTTACCGAAGCTCAACAGGCTGGATATGAAAAGGCCCTAGTATCACGATTGGCACTGAAACCAGGAAAGGCAAGTCTCTATGGCTCTTCAATTCTTCTGACTGCATGATTTTGGTTTATAACAAATGTCCTTACTGCTTTTATCCTTCAGCATACATTACATATCCATTCAAATATATAACATTAAGTATTGCCTTACAAAGTCTCCATGCCTGTCTTTTCCAGGCGAATAGTGACTAATTATTAATTATACGTGAACAGATATCAAGCCTTGCTAACTCCATCCGTACACTTGCAAACATGGAAGATCCAATTGGTCATGTTTTGAAGAGGACTGAGGTAACAAATTACGGACTTTAAGTTAATAATACCCAATGAAATTCTCTGTTTATTATAAAAAAACAATACACAATGCTACGACATAACTTTTTTTCTCTGGTGAAACTAAATGGGTCCCATTGTATTCGCTATTCAAATTACTGTAAAATATTCTTTTGACTATAATTTGTATTGAAATGGCTGATGTTTCCCTTTCAATAACTATAATGCCTTGGTTTCTTACCGGCGTTCTATTTTTTCCTCAACTAGAGACGATGGTTTTTGCACTCAGGTTTCAGATGGACTAATTCTTGAGAAAACATCATCTCCATTGGGCGTTCTTTTGATTGTGTTTGAGTCTCGTCCAGATGCTCTGGTACAGGTTAGTAGAAGTTAGTTGTGGAGTATCAATTTGATTTTTGATAGTTTATGGATGCTTTGGACAAAGTCTTTCTAGTTGGTTGTGTACACAACCACAATTCTGTCTTTTCCCTCCAATAATAGCCCCTGGATTTGTGATTTACATAGATAGCTTCATTAGCAGTCCGTAGTGGTAATGGTCTTCTCTTAAAAGGGGGAAAGGAAGCAAGGCGATCAAATGCAATATTGCACAAGGTATGCATATGCGCTATACCTCTTCATGGTCACATTATAAAGAGATTGGCTCATCGGTTGACACCTCTTTGTGCAATATAGGTTATCACGGCGGCCATTCCAGATACTGTAGGTGGGGGACTGATCGGACTTGTAACTTCAAGGGAGGAAATACCTGATTTGCTAAAGGTTCGTTGGGTTGAAACCATACTTGAATTCTTCTTTTCCTGATTTTTAAGGACAACTAGATGGTTAGCACTGTCTGTTGCTCTTGATTTAGAACACTAATTTATGAACTGATGATAGTTTATCATTATTTATATATTTTAAAATAGTTTGAAATTTATTTTGATGGTTGACTTGGGAAAACTAAAATGAAAAAGTATTATTAAATAACTACATGGGTGGCTCATTGTTCAAAAGGGACTAAGGTTAAGTGAGAGAGAATGAGTTCAAACCTATGATGGCCACCTACCTTAGGAATTAATTGTTATATGTTTCTCGGCATCAAATGTTGTAGGGTTAGGTGGCTACCTCGTGAGATTAGTTGAGGTGCATGTTTCTTTTCACGGATATCAGAAAAAAAAAGTATTATTTAAATGTAATTATTTTTTATTGTATGTAGTTTAGTCGCAATAATTTCTTTTTTAAATTCATATAATCCTTATACCTTATTAAGTTAAAGCATAGATTTTTCGTGTATCATTATAGAAAGAAAATTATAAAAGTAAGAATATAGTGAAAGGATTAAGATGAATTGCAGGGTTCAGATGAATGAATTTTAAGACATCAACGATAATTTATCCAATAACTAAAAATAAAGTTGAGTACTTGTTGGTTTAGCAAATCATACTACATTCTTATAAATGTAAACTCTGTAGGTTGCCTAGAGGTCATTGGGGCAAGTAAAAATGTAAAGGGACTTAGAGGGATTGGATTCAAACCATGAAGCCACCTATCTAGGAGGGTCACGCGATTGTCTTGTGACAGTAGTCGAATGTGTAAGATAAGTCCAAACATTCACAAATATTAAAAAGAATGTATAAATTTACTTTTCGGTTGATTTATTCATAGATACTGTGTATGTTCAATATTATAAATTTACTTTTAGCTTTTTAAGCAAGTTTTAGATTTTAAGAACTATGTAAATATTATTAGTCCTAAACATATAAACATGTATGTAAAATCTATTCCATGAAAAGGAATTAGAAAAAAAGATTGTATTTTTGTGAATTAAAAATCCTAAAAGTTAAGGTGACGTAATTGCCAGAAATGTTTCTTCCACACCTTACCATTCGATATAGTAATAATCATGATAGTGATAATAATATACTTCAATCCAGTTGGAGTAATTAATTGTCAATAATGGCAGCTGGATGACGTTATCGATTTGGTGATCCCAAGAGGCAGCAACAAACTGGTCTCTCAAATTAAGAGTTCCACCAAAATTCCTGTTCTTGGTCATGCTGGTAAGATGGATTGAATCGACCATTATTTCTATATATTATGTCCTACATTCTTTGTTCTTTTCATGAACCAAACCATAATGGCCGTAAAAACGTGATCTTTGCAATGTAGATGGAATATGCCATGTCTATGTTGACAAGTCTGCTGATTTGGAAATGGCGAAGAGAATTGTACTGGATGCAAAAATAGATTATCCAGCAGCCTGTAATGCAATGGTATATCACTCATTATATTCATCAACTTTCATTATTTTGTTCTCCCCTTCATTGGGCGATTACCTTAACCTAGTTGAAGCATGTTTCCTTCTTATTCATCATTTGAATTCTTATTGTAATCTGACTTCTCAATTGCAGGAAACTCTTCTTGTTCACAAGGATTTGGTCCCTACTGGTGGGCTAAATGAACTTATTGTAAATCTTCGTATTGAAGGTCTGACTTCTGTGAAAATTAAATCTAGTTACATTCTCCATATAGAAGATTAAATCCTTGCCCCCTTCTTCCTCAGAATGCATGAATTATCACAATTAGGGGATAATTGTCTAGCCTTGCTGCAATTTCTGCAGTGCAGACTATTAATCTTTGGGTCACCAATTCCAATCATAAGGAGGGAGTTAAAGTTATTAGAGCACAATCTGACAATGCTAAATAATCCCTTCTTTATTATTTGAAGAACAAGAAGAGCTAAAAAGAGTGTTAATGATGAAAATAGTTGGCATAAGTTCAACATATACAAATCATTTTCTCTTAACATACGGGCAACTCCAGGAATACATGCCATCAATAAATTAAAAGAGTAGTCATTTGTCTCTTTTCCAGGTGTTACTTTGTATGGTGGACCAAGGGCGAGCTCTCTATTGAATATTCCTGAGGCACAGACATTTCATCATGAATACAATTCATTGACTTGCACTATTGAAATTGTGGATGACGTTTTTGCTGCCATCGATCATATATATCAACATGGAAGGCATGATAATATTTTTTGATGAAAGATGATTTGAAATTGCTATTTTTGTGCATGTATAAATGGCTGAAGACGAGCATGCATTTTGTGTATAATTACAAATATTTACTATGTTGCTCATAAAAGGATCTTTCTGTATATTGGCAGTGCACATACTGATTGTATCGTTACAGAAGACCATGAAGTTGCTAAAGTTTTCCTACGTCAAGTTGACAGGTAAAGGATACCTATTATGACCACAATCTTCCAGGTTCCCCCATTCTTTTATGATCTTTTTGCTCTAGCACTTGTTCGTTTAAGAGAGATTGTGTGGAATAATGATTCTTTTCACCTGAATAGCTTATTAATGCCGTTTGCTATGTTCGAGTGGCAGTGCTGCTGTTTTCCATAATGCGAGTACAAGGTTTTGCGATGGGGCTCGATTTGGCCTAGGTGCCGAGGTATGATATGATCCATAACTTCCCAACATCCATATGGTTAAGTCTTAAGTTTGTTGCTTGCTTTTTACAAATCCAATGTTTGCAACAGGTTGGGATTAGCACAAGTCGGATTCATGCACGAGGTCCAGTAGGAGTTGAAGGATTATTAACAACCAGATGGTATGAACAAATCGTAGTCTTCTGAGTAATATTCCATGTTGTACATACATACATGCATGTATACATATATTTTACAAATACGAACACACATCAGGTATCTGTGACATCTATGTCAATATGTGCTAGTCCAATCTCAGCATTGTGCCTAAATTTGCCTTCGTTATATTTAGGATTCTAAGGGGGACTGGGCAAGTTGTGGATGGTGATAAAGGTGTCGTTTACACGCACAAGGACATCAAGATTGAGTCTCAACTCGTCAATTGATTTCAGCCCAAGAATTCGCGCTGGCATTCATGAGTTTGGTGGAAAAGGTATAAATAAGTGTTTTAATCTTCTCCCTTTGAGTGTTATACTTGGAGCGACAATGTGACTTAATTAGGTTTCGGAATGTGGCTAATTTTCTTATCATATTGGCCGTTTCGAGTTAGAAGCTTAGACCTTTATTCTATTTAGTTCTAGCTTATAGGTCTTAAATCTTGTTGTATGACAATTTGAATAAATCAGATGCATCATACTTGGAATTGTTTTGTTACTAGGTTTTGACAGTTGAAGTTCTTTTTTTTCCCCTCTTTAGAATATTACACAAATACGGCATGGAAATTCGAACTTACAATTTAAGGTAGAGATGCCTAATCAGACCTTGAATTGGTGCGTCATGGTTGACGTTGGCATCTGAAAATAACTAAAATGTAGTCATGTTTAAAACAGGGAATTAAAAGTATATGATAGTCAACAATGTTTTTAAACGAATAACAGGTTGTAATGTCATTGGTGATCAATTACTTTGATTAATATGGTAATTCATTTATCAACTAATCAATGTTTTGTGGTTTTTCTTTAAAGAGTTTATAGAAAATGAGTTGGGAATTCCTGACCAACGAGCTGCAATGAACTCCCATCCAATTGGCAAGTCTAAATCTTTTTTTTTATATCCGTTAATGTCCGGACTAGCAACGCGTACCTTGGCTAGACTTTACCACATTTGGTGTTGGAAAACATAAAGAAATTACTAATTTCTCGGATGAGTGCCGAAAAAGAACACAGTCTAAAATTTTAAAATTATACATTCAAAAAGTGGTCCTATTGACTAGAGCATGAGGCCTTGTAGTATCTATCACCTATCCGAGGTCAAGAATCATTGATGTCTCTTAAACGGGTAAAGGGTAAAAAGCTAAAATATTTGATTCTGGGTTATACAAAAAAAGTTAATACAAACATTATTTTAATATGAAATATTTAAGTTAGATTAATAAATTCTTCTGGTAAGGAAATTCCTTGCCAATGACAAATGCTACTCCCTATTCAGCAAAACTGTTTTATTGTAACAGAATAAATAATCTAATTTCCTATGACACGTAGATAAGATACAGCACAAATGTTCATTTTTGCAGAAAAGGAAATTGAAGTTGAAAGGTGCAACACGCTAGAATCAAGAGGGGAAAACTGCTCCATCGGCTCGAAGTTTATGCTTCAACAAAGTTCTTGAGTTTGGTCAACCATATCAAGTACTCTTTGCTGTCTTTGTTGATCATGTACTCATGCAAGAAATTTGTTGTGCTGGGTTTAATACCCCTAATCTCCAAATACTTGTGGAAGGCCTTCTGAAGGTTCTCATCCAGATCACTGAAAGGAAAAATGGTACACCAGATATGATCATCATATACAGATGAAAAATGAAACTAGAAGAACCCTCTACTCTGAGTGCAAGAACTTCGACGTAAATACTTACTGGAAGTCGGGGCCTTCGTATGAAATTTGATCCTCAGAATGCTCGGGATGTTTAACAATCAAGCTCTCTAAGGAAATCTCATCAGGGTAAGCACTGCAACTGAACTCTAGGGAAGGTCCATTCTTCTTAGAGACACTAACAACCAACGGGATGCTAGACTGATTCGCTTTGCTACCACCGTCGTCGTTGTCATCGTCATCATCGTCGTTAATATTTTGACCAGTAACTAGATCAGGCATGTGAACTTCAACACTAATGACTTCATCTTGATATGTTCTCTTCAAAGTTATAGTTTGCAAACCAGGATTATCTTGGATCTCAAAAGGGAACCCTTGAGGTACATCCTCAACCTATCAGATCAGAGGATTTATGATCACCATAACCATCATTACTGAAACAAGAGATTCATACATGTAGTTTGACTTGACAGCAAAAATAACACAAAGAAACAGCTTGAGTTATTAGGTCAATCTTATGGAACTCAAAGTAGATATTATGACTGAATCTACAAGTAAACCGAGTACTTCTTTCTCTACCCAACAAAGTGGCCACTTGCAAGGGGATGAAGAAAGTAAAACTCACCCGATCATGGTCATCAGTTTCCGAGGCGCATTTGATCTCAGATTCAATCACCCGAATAAGAGACTCGTCGGAACTCGGGCGCTTCGACGCTGAAAAATGTCGAAAAGAGGTGACTGAAGGACCCAAAAGCGGACGGGAAGAGAAATTGGAGTGATTGTTTAGGGCATTGAAGATGGAAGGACGGTGAATTCGTTGGACCGGAAAGAGACGAGCCGCTAGTGGGCGAAGAGAGGAGGACGATCTTCTGATAATGGACGTAAGCGCCATGTTTCTGTGCAAAGGTGCGGTGGGTAGCAGAGAACAGAGGTTTTAGTTTTAGGGTTTAAGAAAGGGTTTTCGAGTTTTGAAAGAGGAGACTAACATAAGGGGCAAAATGGGAAATTGACCCCCCACCCTCGAATAAATTACGCCGGTTGCCCATCGTAAATGTTTAAAATTATTTATTCTCTAAAAAATCAGGTTTGTTCTCGCCGCAGCTTTCAGGTCCTCGTTCGTTCTCCTCGCGTACTGAAACCCGATTCTGCTTTTGAGAGAGATGGGGGGTATACACGTAATTTCACTCCCAGAAATAAACGCAAAATTGAAAAAGTACCAATATGCTATTTTATTTTAGAAAAGAGGGATGAGCCGAAAACCCTATAGATTATAGATTCATAGAAGAGGGGTTGCGTTCACTGTTCAGGAAGTTTTGCTCAGACCCGTGACTGTGAGTGGAGATAGTCACCGCTCGCAATATCACCGCCCAATGCGGCTGCGCCACGTCACTAACATCCGCAACGCACCGTTTTGAAGGAAAAAGGTGGGTGACAGTGACACAGCGTACAGTCAATGGAAAAAGAACATTCCCCATTGGGAGTCAAACATCTCCTTCTCCTCGCATTCGAATTTTTCTTTTCTAACAATCCCATTCTTTTTTCTTTTTCTTTTTGGCTTCAGCTCTCAAGCCAACGCATTGTTCTTAATCTTCTCTTTTGCGACCGTACAAGCTCCGGATTAGTGGTAAAATTCGACGCCGGCAGAGATGTTGGGGAGTCCCGGAAGAATGAGCGGGCTGGTATTGAGGTGCGCGCAATGGCTTTTCGCTGCTGCGTCGATTGGGGTTATGATTACTGCTCCTGGCTTCTTCAACTCCACTGCCTTCTGGTAATGCAAGCCTATTTCCCCTCTTTTCTTATCATCATTTTGTTTGACTCAGAAATGTGGAGCCGAGCGGGTGGTCTTTTTTGGCTGGAGCCGTTGTATTGTGGGTGTTTTTTAAATTGAAAATTCAATTGCCGAAAGAAACGAAAATATTCTATGGTTTGCCTGCTCCATTTCCTTTTTCTGGGAGTATTGTTGTTTGGTAAAAGATTTTGGTATTTACTTAAAGTTATCCCGGTTCTGTTACAATTGTGAGTTCGAATTATTGTTTTTCAGTTCTTTCAGCTGATCGTTTCAATTTTCATATACATCGGGAAATTTTCCTGACTTATATTTTTCCATATGAAGCAAGTTTCTGATAAGATGCACCAAATGTTAGAAATAATGGTGGACAAATTTTTTGCAAACTACATGAAGTTTATCGTGCTTAGAATAACAAGAATTCTGGACTACATTAAGTGACATAGGAAATTAATGATGGTATTGTTCTTAAAGGTTCATTTTGTTCGTTTTTCTTTTCTTTCTAATCCTACCGATGCATCATGCTGTAACACTTATTTTTTCTTGCATGTTAATTACTTCATTCTTTATGGCCTTTCGACTAAAAGATGATTAAGTTAACACATGCACTGCATGGGCGAGACCTGTCATACGAGCAATGTCACTGGTCTTGTCCTAGAGCCCATCCTGGCCACCGTTTTTATTTCGTTGGGCTACAAATTGTTTGCGTCTAGGTTGCCCATTTGTTGTATCATAATGTTACTGTTTTCTGTGTGACAATGGTCCTTCAAAGAACTAACAATTTGGGCCCTTTGTTCTGTGACTTGGATTCTTTTTTCCCCCCAAAATATTCTTCTCCTTATGAACTAACTTTTTGGAATTTCATTTCCGTTCACGTTGGATGTGTGGTAATTTTCAGCTTAGCGTAGTTGGGGGAACCTGAAATTCCTGCCATGTATGTGACTTTGTGGAACTTTTGTGGTGCTGAGATTTGCTAATGCAGTTTTTAACTCTCCACTTCAAATACTTCATCTCATTGTACATTATATTTTCATGGTTTTATGTTTCAGCTTTTTGACCAGTATGTCTATAGTTTTATTGTAAAGTTGTGGCTCGTCTAATTTTGGCGCTGTTTATTTGGATCAGTTACTTAATTGCTTCCATGGGGCTTCAAATTCTTTGGAGTTTTGGACTAGCATGTCTTGATGTGCATGCCTTGCGTATGAAGAAAAGCCTGCGGAATTCAGTTCTATTGTGTCTATTTGCTATTGGAGACTGGGTGAGTATCTCTGTCCTTTGACTTGCAATTTACATGAATATCACTATATACTGTATTAGAACTAGCGGATCTTGTTAATATAATTTTATGTTTTTAATTTCATAAAGTCCTTGCTAGTTGCCTTGATTATGCATTTGCTGCTGTGGGAAAGCGTAGGTAGATTTTAAGTACCTTGCTTGCATCGAGACTTTTTTTTTAAATGGAAGAAACCAACTTTGATCGAGGAGATTGACACAAAAACATAAGTGCATTTATTTTCGGTGTGAAAATTTAAAGAGTAATTATATTAAGAAGTCTAAAGTTTGCAATGGTGGAGGCTTCCTATGTCTTATACCTGCTCAAGTTTAAATTTCTTTCAGTTGGTATGGTTCCATAAAAGTTATGTGACTAATTAGAGCCAGTTTCCATCTCAATCCCAGATGATCCGACCTTCTAAATTTAAGCCAAGCAAACCATTTAGGGCTCTCTAGCAATGGAGCATTTGCATCAAGAGGGTATGTCAGGCTGCTATTGCCTATCTTTTGACATCACATTTCTTGTGTGCTGATTACATCCTAGAAATTGTATGAACTTTCACAATCTCTTTTGGTAACTAATATTCTGAACAAATAATGGAGCTCAGTGCGTTTAGAAAGCCACTATGGACATTCCAATAAATATTAGCATGAACCACTTGGCCCAAATGATCCAATATACTATGACTTTTAGTATGTAGCTGTTATAGGACGTCTAGCCAATAGATGGAAGCATATCCTGGAATGGCATTTGGAGACCCTATAACCTTCCACCATCGGCTTCTTTATTTACAAATGGATATAGTAGAATCCAGATTTGGAAGGATCCAAATAACAAAGACCAATCAAGAATATTTTGAAGGATCCAACCTTATGGGAGGCTGCTTTATTGATGAATCGATTCCATCAGATATTTCAGGGGGTTAATACCATTTCTCATTTAACACTAGAAAATCTTGCCATTGAAGAGTTTGCAGAGTCACAAAACAATAGAGGTGCTGGTACCATTGATACACTGGAGGTAATAGGTATGATCAAGCACCCCAAGGACAACCCGGTTGGCAAGGGCTTTGGGTCTCTTGGTCATATTGGCTTAATGTCTCAAGTTTGAACCTTTCAGTGAGCTTAATATAAAAAACCCTTATGTCTTTCGAGTCTAGACCTTGGAACGGACGCCCCTAAATATAGGGAAGCATAGCTCTGACTCCTAGTTATAAAAGAATAGGTATGATCAACCAATATTTTGGAAATTGAGAATTTTCTTCCACTCCACCAGTAAGAAGAATTCTACGCATGCACAAAATAGCGGTTTATGTATAGTAACTATTCTTGCAACCAAGTTACGGAAATGAATTCCAGATGCAATACTAATTTCATTTAGCATAGCTACATTAATTCATCTATATGAAATGCAGGTTGTAGCTACGCTTGCACTCGCCGCCGCATCATCGTCCGCTGGGGTGGTCATTCTGTATTCAAGGGACTTGGACTACTGCAGATTACCGCCTCATATTCAATGTACGAAGATCGAAATATCTGTGGCTTTTGCTTTTATCTCGTGGTTCCTACTGGCTATATCATCTCTAGTAACATTTTGGCTCTTGGGTACAGTTTAATAAAATCACGTCCCCATTTTCTCTGAGGCTTTCTCCTTGAACGTAAATGAGTCTACAAATCTCTCTACCTTCTCTTTTGTAAATTAACGATATGTTTGCAACGACTCGTTTCCTCTTCTCCCTTTTCGAAGGCTATCAGGTTTGCATATTTTAAATGGAGCAGACCACCTGTTATGTTCCTCATTTTTTCCAACACTTTATGCTTCTTATGTGTTCGTACGTACCTATATTACATTTATCCACATAACAATCGTATAGACAAAAAATTCAATACTGATTCTGTAGGATCCAGATGTAATGTTTTCTATGTATATAACAAATTTAGTCTCCAAGTTTTTCACTAAATATCAATTCTGATGCTATACACCACGCTTTTAACGTCTATAATGGCAAAAAAAATAATTACCGAAAGGAGTCTGATCATCAAGAAGATGAAGGAAAGAATCTTTAGGAAAAGAAATTGATAACTTATTTTCCCTATATACACAAAAATATTACAGATCATAAACATGACAAGAAACGCCCTTGATAAATGAGATTAACCCTTCACTCACAGAACTTAAACTAGCAGACACTAACAATATGCTGCGCCCATGAAGACGAAGAAAGAAACTAGTAAAATCCACTCACGACCAACGATTTTTGCTCTCAAAAAAGGATTCAGACTAATTTGCAAATACACTCCTTTACATAACTATTTCAGGCTTCAAAATGCTAGCTTTGATTTCCTTGTGCGGCAGCACAACTCCACCATTACTGTAGACTTCATCACCCACATGAACGTCTTCTCCTAATATTGTCATATTCTCTACGCGTGCCCATTGGCCGACAGTAGAATGCCAGCCTATGATGCTACTGGATATGCAAGCGTGCTTCTTGATGCGCACGCCCCGCATTACGGTACATCGAGATAGCCTAACTCCTGACTCAACAACACAACCAGGACCAATGGCAACATCCGGCCCAATCAGGCATCCTTCACCAATTTTAGCAGTCTCGTCCACCAGAACATTCCCTACAATGTGAGACCCAACCGCTAACTTCGATGAAGAATTTTTCCTCAAGGAGTTTAGATAGAGTCTTAGTCCTGTAATATAATCCTTTGGCTGCCCAATGTCCATCCAAAACCCTGGCAGTACCATTGCATAAAGCTTTTGCTCTGCTGCAATTTTAGGGAACACTTCCTTCTCAATTGATGTTGGCCTCAGTTCAATTCGATCCAGGACAGAGGGGTTTAACAGGTAAATTCCAGCATTGATCTTGTTGCCAACAAATAGTTTAGGTTTCTCCACAAATTTCTCAACTTTCCCTGTAGATTCTTCCATGACCACCACGCCATATTTGGACGGCTCATCCACCTAGAAGAAGAAAAATGGTCAACTACTTACTTGAAGGAGTAAACTGTCAGATAATGAATAATATCTGAACTAAGTGCCTTTCGAAGAAGATATACTGAACTCAAGTATTACCTTGGTTACCATGATTGAAGCCTCTCCTCCATGACTCTTGTGAAATTCAATCATTTCCTTAAGTGGGTACTCACTGATAACATCGCTATTGAGGACAAAAAATGGCTCACCTGAAGCGTCAACTAGTTTGTCCCTTGCAAGGGCCAGAGGGCCAGCTGTTCCAAGTGGTTCTGTTTCCTGAGAGCATGTGATCTTGATCCCGAGCTTTTTCTCAAAATCTTTCAAGAAATTCAACATTACCTGCAGAGATAAAGATCTACCGCTGCCATCACTGCAAACCTCAAGTAAAGTATGAGAATGAAAGAGTTTTATTTCCATACTTCTGGCTGATAATTGATTGCCAAAACTACTTCTTCCACTCCAATAGCCTGGAGAGCTTCTATCTGAGTAGTGAGAGAGAAAACGGCTTTTCAGGAATAGCAGTATGATTAAACTAAACCATCTCCTTAAAAGCAGTTCAGTTTGCAACATTCTTTACTTTATATTACAACTAGAGGATAGTCATTAATATGATCTCGATATTTCTTTCAATTGAACGGCAAAATAGATTATAATAATAGATCCAAACAATAGCACAGGGTACCGAAAGAACATTTTGAACATAGGATCATTGATTTGTTACCCAATGTAGGGATAAAAAGGATAAAATAAAATAAAATGAACCTGATGCAGGATCATGGGTTTATTAGCAAAGTCGACAAGTGGCTTGGGGACACTGAGGGTCAATGGCCTCAAACGTGTTCCAAATCCTCCAACAAGAATAAGTGCCTTCATTGTGATGTTGAGGTAATTTCCGCTTTCTGTAGACAATGACAATGAAATAGCTTTGACTCGTTAAAGAAGACGAGAACATCAGATATGAATTATGTAGGCAACTAAAGAATCTATAATCGCTTGTACGCATGCATGTACATGTATCTTAGCAATGAAAGATGCACTCATATGACAGTGTGGAAGCTAGAGAGAGATAAACATTCATTCTAAGCACTTGGGAATAAAAGCTATTGAGAAAAGAGACAAACGAAAGTTGAAAAGAACCCCCATAACACAAAAGGCAGCCACGAGGCACCCCCAAAACACATCGATCCATGTCGTTGCCATAATAAATACAAAATATTTTTTGTCAACGGGAAGTCTGCAGCATAGTAAATACTGTTTCAAGTGTTCGTACTTCTCCACCGGGGGTGGGTACTGGGTGGTCTTTTATATCATTGTAGATTCAAATGGTCCAGAGGCATCACCCTGTCCAACCTTACCCCCAAATAAACACCAAAAACTATCTCAAAAAAGGCAAGAGTTTTTCTGGAAACTATTTTCAAAATTATAATGTTTTTCAAAATAAAAATTTAGTAAAAACAGGTTTGAAAATCTATTTTCCTCCACTGATTTTATCTAAAACCGATAAAGTTGATTTTCCTTTTTAAAATAACAATTTTGTGAACTTCATTACACACAATAAAACTGACCTCTCCAAATTGTTTTAAAACCAAAAACAGTTAACCGCTTCCAAAGCAGAATTCGGAACAATCTCTTAGTACTTCTACACCAAAGTGATTGACTTGCACTAAACATCAGAATTCAGATCGATAGATACTTAAAAAGGAAATGCTGGACAAAACATTTTGGCATGATGCACAGTATGATTTCTTCTATTTCCTTCCTTGGGAGTATCCAACAAAATTATTTTAATACCATTAACTCATCTTTTCATGGAAACTGAAGATGCTGTATGTCGAATTACCCTAGTCCTTATTCCCTTAGATGGCTAATAAGGATGAATTTAGCGGTGAGTCCTGAAGCTCTAAACTTAAACCATTTAAAAAATTAACAGAACACAAACGAAAAGAGAATGTAGAATGAAGTATGGATCTGAATGCGAGAAAATGATGACAACCTTAGGAGAATCATCTATCGTTTAATCTCACGCATATTCCATCTATCTATAAGCAAGAAGAAATGAATGGAGACGGAAAACATTGTGAGATGAATAATCAGTCAGGTAAAATTAGTAGAATAGCCGCAATCTTATCAGATCTGCCAACACAAAATGTCAAGCTACTTAATTACCAACGCATTCAACCGAAATAAAAGACGTCAACAAAGAAGATCCAATTAAAAAAGTTCTAGCGCAAAGATATCAAATCAGAACAAGCCAATCACGGAGTACGGAGTCATGATTTCAAATTCCAATCAAACTGCAATCACATTGTCAAATCCAACCTTCCCATTTACACCAAACAACGCCCTTCCCGTTCTCAAAAATGACAGAACCCGCAATTAAACCACGGATCTAGCTAAAGACGAAGAGAAGCAAGTGGAAATGAGGAGAAGAATTCGAGGCAAAAATTACCTTAGATCCCAGCGAATCAGAACCCGAGCTCGAACGGAAATGGAGTCGAGTGGCAAGTAGTCAACCGACCGCGAGCGCTCGTTCGGAGTTTTTCCCGCGGTAGGACCTTAACGGTTGGTTCCGTCGGGTTCTGATGTAAAACAAAGGACGCCTGCCGAGGAAAAAACAGCCTCATCGCGGTCCATAAATATGCGCATCGGCCCTCGCGGATTTCAATTATTTAATTAATTCCCTGATTGGTTGTATCACGTTTCTACTTTCTAATGGTTGAAGGAAAGCGGTTCACGTCCGCCAGGGGCTGTTTGGAAAAGTGGTTTCAAGGACGGCCAGCTCATCGGAAATTTCGTGGACAAAGCCTGTAAAACGAAAAAGCCATGATGGATTGTGACGTGGACGGACGTGATTGGCTGTGACGCTCCTAGAATCACAGTCATTTGTTAAATCTAGAGAGTGAAAAATGGATAAAAACGAAGTGTCGGTTGCGGATTTAAAAATTAAAATGGTTATCGATGGATTACGAAAGGGAATATGCTTTTTATTTTGGCTTCTCGTTTAATGTACTCTCATATCATATTCGTCGTGAATAAAAATAATTTTTACAAAATTTTGACGAATAGGAAATAAATAAAATATTTATTTTATCCAGCGTATTCGTTACTGCATCCTCGGTTGAATCTTTACTTATTTTAAATGACCAAATAAATTAGATTACTCAACGGGCAAGCAAAGCAAAACTGTCTAAATTATGCAAAATTCCAGAATTGGGAATTGTGCTGAGAATACCAAAAGTTGATTCTTTATAAGGTAGAAATAAATTTAATTTGATTTTGGGGTGGGTTTTTGTTTGAAAAAAAAACAATAATAAAGATGGGTTGATAATTTTGAGATGATGCTTTGACTAAATGGGAAGCAAAATAAATTTGGGGTGGCTTGTTTTGGAGAAGTCAAAAGGAATAGTGTAGATTTGGCAGTAGATTGAGGTCTCCTAATAATAATAATGTTAGTAAAATAACTTTTAGAATAGTCGCTAGTTATTTTAAATTTTAGGTTAAATTGTTGTTTTTGTCCTAAGTTATGATTTGTGCTTTGTTTTAAAATGTTTGGCTTTATTATCAATCGTTAAATTTTCGTCCATGGTGTCTATTGTTATGAGCTATTACACCATTGAATACGTGATATATTTTTCATTTATTTAATAATGAACTAGATTTTTTTATTTGATTGAGTTATTTGAAAACAGGATAACAAGGATGCAACTGAAAATTTTAAAATTAAATGAATCAAAGTGAGACTAAGTACTAGGCTGCTCGTATAATTTAACTTAAATTTTATTTGTATTTTAGTACAACAAATGTGGGATGAAGATTTGAAATCCGACCATCTAAAAACGAACAAGTTACTATGAATGTTGAACTAAGCTCATGTTAGCTTAAATTTTATTGTTTTTCTAATTACAACAAGATAAACGTATAACTCTAATTGAGATTGGAGATAAAAAGATAACAAAAATGTATCAAATCTTAGGTACATATATTAGATAAAGGTTCAGAACAACGTTGGTTTAAAGCCTATATTTTAAATGTTAAAACTTTTTATGGGTTAAGTTATCTTTTTTTCCTTATTTTTGGCCTAATATATTTTTTTAATATATCATATAAGGTAAGGATTCAAACTCTCAACTTCATTGTGAAATACGTCTCCCTTAATCTACTGAACTATGTCCTGGCTTGACAAAATATTTCTGAAGATTATCTTAAAATAATAGAAAATATATCAACTATAATATCTATTGATTTCATATATTCTCTCTACGTTGTCTTCTTCAGTTAGTAAAATTGATCCGCAGCCGTATTCCTCCTTTGAAGTTTGACCATATATTTTACCAATTTACGGAAACACTAAATATCGTTTAAAACAATATATAAAAACAAAACTAACGAAAATGGTTTATTATTTTCCAATTAATTTTGGGGACAAAATTTTTAAAATTAAAATAGCCATCGTCGAAACCAGAAAGAAAAAGAAAAATGAAAAAGTGATCATGATTTACGGGAAATTTGAATATGGAATATTACCGGAAACCTACCCCAATTTCTGTACATAAAAAAAGAAAGAAAAAAAATGACGTACCCCAATTTGTTGACTGTTTTCTAAAATTCGTTGAGTTGTTGGAAATTGAATTGGAACGACGGCCATTGCCAACTTTAGCCTTCTTTTTTTCCCTTATATTTATTTATTTAAGGGCAAAAATTGACCGAGTGAAATATTTGGATTTGGACCGAAACAATTAAAGTCACGTGTAGGTCCCGTGAGCTGATCTTTCCTGACGATCTGTCAGGCAGGCGGCAAATTAAAATAACGTAATTTATAATTTGCATGAATTTCGAGTTAATAATACAATACTTATTGGTCGTTTCTGATTTTTTTTTTTTCATTTATGGTTTCTAGTGATTTTATATAGCCATCTTAAGGTTGGAAGCCTACGTCTTAATAATTGTACCGACGGAAGATTATATACAATATCTGTGGTGTCATGGAACAGAAAATAATTTGAGAGACGTCACATGTGTTAAAAAAAAAAAAGAAAAAAGGCAAACATTTTATTGGTAACTTCAATAAAATCAAACTATATCACCAATTTTTAAGTCTTATATGTGATCTTGTTAGGATTAAAGGAAAAAAAACACCTTTACTTTTGCTTGTGTTTTTCCGCTTTTAAAGTTTTCTGACTTCTTTTTAGTTTTAAGAAATTTGAAAAAATAAATTTACAAGAAAAAAAAAACAACAAATTGTCAATAAACAAATACTATATTTTTAGAAAGCATAAAATTATATATATATATATATATTTTTTTTTAATTATTATTTTTTTTAATAGGACAAGTAAGATGGAAATCTTTTAACTCATAAAAAATATAACTGTTGAGCTAAATTCATGTGACGGCAAACCATTTTTAAATTTAAAATTTGGTTTGGATTTTAAAATTATTATTTCATAGATTTAAAAAATGTTAAATAAATAAACATAATTTAGAAAATAAAAAATAAAAGTCATTATCAAAACTTAAAATTTTGTATTTAACACAAATAAAATCGCAATCACGTCATTTATTCTAAAAGTATCAACCATCTGAGTAGTTAATATTACACAGACAGTTCCACGCAATTTTATTGGTGTCCATTCTCATAGAACTATATAACAAAAATATTATTTTCAAAAAATATTAATTTAGCAAAATTTAAACATAATGTTTAATCTTAATAATAACAATAATTTTTTTTGTTGGTACAACATGTAAGGTGGGGTGGATTTGAACTCACGGACCTATTTGTCAGGTACGGTTAGAAACTAATTAAATATGTATTGATATATATAAATGAAGCATGAGGGGGACAAAGTTTATCTTCACTTGGTATTATTGTCTGTATTTGTTTCATTCATTTATTGGTAATTGTTTTTCTTTTTAGTTTATTTATTGTTGTTTTCTTAAATAATATAAATATCATTTAAAAAATTAGAATGGTACCATAACTTAGAATTTTTGTGGTTCTTTTTTTGCTCTTTATTTTTCTACGTTCGTTCCTACTTTGTGCTTGATTTTTTAAAAGTTTAAAAGATCAATATATTTTCTAAAATTATGAAAATTGTTTCAATATAGGTAATTGTATATATATATAACACTTTCTTAACATACATTCTATAGTTATTTTTTCAATAAGGTCATTAACAAATGACAACTCAAATCGATAAATGTTTTTGTTTTTTAGAAAATAAGTATGTCAAATGGGTACCTCCACCGTTTCAAAATTGAAAAGTCCTCTACTTTATTTATAAATATTTAAACTATTTTAATTTTATGACATTGGTATTATTTGTGATTGTAATCCACCAATCTCTCTGTTTGCTAATCAAATATTTATTTACCGCAAACAAACGTTAAATAAGGAGGAAATTATTACAAAAGTTTGAGGAACAATCCCAATCGTTCACAAGTACTACTTTATGAGACATCTTCCTTAATAATTTGGTAAAGAGAAATTAGGAACATGTGATCCAACGAAATAGACTAAGCAACCACCATGTGGATTGGGAACCAGCCTTTCTGTTTTCATAAAAGTAATTTGAACATGCCTTAGATTTGTTCCTCAAGTCATTCATTTTTTACTTATCTATATTCAAATGTATGGGTAGATGGAACGAATCCCATGTCTAACTATATTTGGTTAGAATTAATCATATATTATGATAATGACAATATTTATAGCCATGTTCACTCAATCATAGATATATATATGGAATAAAAAAAATCATGCGTCTCATATATATAATTCGTTGTCATATTAATAAAAAAACGTGTCAGGTATGATGTATTCAATATAACGAAGATATGTAGTTTCAAAAATCACAGTGATATTTGAACAAATTATAAAATCAAATTTGAAACTTTAACACTATATAAATAATATTTTTAACTAAAATTAAATTAAGAATTTTAAAATTATAGAAATCAAATTAAAGCTAAATTTAGAAGAATAGTTTAATTAAAAAAAAATTAACAAGCACAATATTAATGGACACATGTCTCTAACTAAAAGGTCATGAGTTCGAATCTCCTACTTCTATTTAGGGTACTAAGAAAAAAGTTTTAAACTTAGATGCAATTATTTATGGATTACATTTCAATCAATAACTCTAAATATTTTTACCCTGCAATAATTGTTAAATTTTTCAATAACAGAGTTCAAGCTGATGAAATATTATTTTTCATAAACTAAGGAAAATGCGGTAGTTTGAACCTATGATTAGTTTTCTAAATCCATAGGATTTTGCTAGAGTTTTAAGCTTTAATTATTATTTTGTCCCTCGTTTTTTTATTTTATTTTATGTAATGCTGATTTTTCATTCCAAAAAATAAATACTGTATGATTTAAATTGCGCTTAATTGTTAATAATATAAATTAATAACGAAACAATCGTTCTCCTTGGTTCTCTCTTTTCTTTCTTTAGCTCTTACACTAAAATGAAGAATCAATTGACAATTATTAAATAAATTAGTAAATTACTATTTTAGCCTATTTGAGACTTGTTTAGTAATTTCAATTTAATATCTCAATATTTTAAAAAGAAAATTCAATTTGGTTTTCATAATTTTTATTTTTTGTATTTTTTAGTACAACAACTAGGTTTGGAGGGATTTGAACTTGTGACTTTTCATCAAAAACATGTATCAATTACCATTGAGTTAAGTTCATATTGACGTTTTTATAATTTTATTAAATCTTCCAAAATAATGTTAACATTAATTAAAATTTACATAATTATATATGAGACATGCTTTCTTCGGATATGTGACAAATTTTCTTTAGACATGATAAAGAGGAGAATTCAATTAAAAACATATTATATAATAGTATATTGTGCACATTTGGTAAATCTAATAAAATTTTGAGAAAATAATCAAAACAATATAGCTAAATTGAAACTTTTAAAACTATAAATTTTAAATTAAATTGAATGCAAACCCGACGAGTGTTAAAAAATCATTTTCCAATCCTTAATTTAACATAAGGAGGTCCTATCAGATCCGAGTTTTTTCTTTTAATTAAAGTGGAGATTCGAAAGAAATCAAATCGTTGTAGAGATGAAGATAGAGAACCGATGATGGAGAGAGTAGAATTGGAGAAGACGATATTTTGTGAGAGGATGAGAGCAAACGAATGCCTTAAAGAAAAAACAAATCTTAACAAACATGACAAATCGTTGACCTTATTTAACAGTAGATTAATAATATAGACTAGAATGAACTATTTTAAAAAGTATAGAGACTAAAATGAATTTTTTAAAAATAGACAGACCAATGAACCTAAGGTTAAAGTATAAGGACCAAAACAGTATTTTAATCTATTTATTTCAAATTTTTAATTTGATTTGTTATTTTTAATTTTTTAATTAAATAGATATAGACTCCTCGATAATTAGTTTAAATTTTTTTGTACACGTCCTTTTTATCTTATCTTTAATTAATCTACAATATTTATCATTCATTACTAAATTTGTAAGGAGCTTTTTTCTAATAATTGCATATTTGAACTAAGTAATAACATATGTGTCTCATAATGAAATATTATATATCGGTAACCTAATTTATATTAAGTATATAAATGATATAACATGCACAAACGATATATTAGTGATGACTTCAGGTTAAAAATATTTTTGGTCCCTATACTTTAAATAATTAATAATGATATATTAGTGATGACTTTAGGTTAAAAATATTAATGATCTTGTATATCGGTAACCTAATTTAAATTTTAGTTTTGTAACAATTTGGTCCATACATATTGAATAATAATTTAGTACATAAACTTTTTAGTGTATTATAATCTAATTCATGTAGTTTAAAAACATGTTAAAATTAAGTGTCAATTTTTTTAAAAAACCAAAGTATCAATTTTTATTATGTAACAATTTTGTAGTTTATTAATACATATATGGTTTCCTGAATTTTTCGATACATATACAAGAAACATTATTAGATCTCAACGACATTTTTGCAAACGTTCTACTCTTGTCCGAACTTTTCAATCAACCCATCCCCTAATTTCAGGGGCCAAAAACCTAAATCTTTACAAAATTTAAAATGTAGTTTTCCACGTATTATGGTTTCCCAATGTTTAACGCAAAATTGGAACCACACCTACAATGTTTAGCCCAACTAAGTTTATTTAATACACAAACATAAACATGACACAACATCTTATTAGTTAACTGATTAAATCTAAATTTTACTGATTAAAATATTTGGGGTGAACCTTGGCGGTGGCGATACTAATGATGTACTCAATCTCCTCCACCACTTGTTTCATCGAAGGCCGATTCTGCCTCTTCTCTTCCAAGCATCCCATCG